GGGGGGGCGGGCGCGGTGGCAAAGAAGGGGGCAGGGATAGCGCGCGCGCGCCTCCTCTTACGTAATAACGTCTTCATCCGGAATCCCGGAGTTTTTGGTGATAGGGGATGGCGAGGGGTGAATAAAAAGAAATGGAAAAGGAAACGGAAATATAGAAAGAATCCTGATTAAGTGGCACTTTTCTTCATCTTTGTTGGTTACAAGATTTTTTTTTTTTTTTTTAACGAAAATACTATGAAAATTTAATGTTGTCTTTTACAAGGAAAATTTATATGCCTGTCATCGAACAACATATGGAAATAAACCCCCTTTCGAGAAACCTCACAAAAATTGGTATGCTTGTAAATTGGTATATCAGATACAATTTATTTCTTATATGATCCCGCCTGAAGGTACATTAATTTGATTTATATCTTGGTATCAAACGACTTCGAATGAGCCTTGTGCAAAAATTCTCACCAAATCCTATCGGCCTAGTCCCTCATATGTTAGTGTTATTACTGAGGGCAGTAAGCTTATGGTCCACGCATGAATGACCACGGGGACCTAAACTACATATCCCTTGTACGTAGTTCAGATCCTCCAATACGTGTATATATATATTATTTACTATTTTGTCTCCTGTTCACTCTCACGGAACATTTACTACCCTAAATTCTTTTTTTTTTCCCAACTACTAACTGCTGGGTCGTATGACAAAATTTGACTCTAGTCACTGATACTATACTTTTTTTTTATATATAATGTACTCTAGATGATTCTAGTAAAAAATAAAACTACCCTTAGTTTTAAATGGCTTATTCACTACCGACGGCAATTATCTATGGGTGTGTATGCAGGTATACGAAATAGTCTGGATATTTTCGCCGGTCGCTATGGCTACCCCTGATGGCTGATGTGGAAAGTGTGCGTGACTAATTTGACACCCCCATATACGTATAACTAGGCAGTCACCTGTAATTCGTGCCGGGCTCGTCGACAGTAACAGTCATGATTTAACTCCAATAAAACCGAATTAAACGCTCCAGTAAACAGTCCGTAAGCCGTCCTGACCCAGGACGCCAGCCTAAGTTCTCTCATTCCTCTCGAACCGACTGTATAGACCAATCAGGCCTCACCTTTGGATAACGTATACACTAGAAAAGTCTAATTGCCGGTGCGCATAGCGATTCCGTTTCCGTTGGGTTGCGTTACCATGGAAACGTCACTGGTAAATAATATCAAACAATCTGTACTGTCGGCGTCCCTGCCTAATTCGAAAAAGCGTGATACACCCTGCGACAAGTTATAACGAGCATAGAAAAGAATGTGTAATATTTTTAAAATTGTTAAACGACGGGAAATCTGGAACTTTTGTTCAAGGTTTTACAATTTTACTTTGTACCGCGAGTGTCCCTTGCTCGTAACAGAATACTGTGATGAAAATTTTGAACGTAGCTGTACCAGCTGCTATGAAATAATAGTGTATACAGATATACGCTGCTTGTGTACCGAAGAGAATAATCGAGTTTATTAAAATGACAGAATTGATAATTTCAGAAGTTAATATTATGAGATCTGAATGAAATCGTAATTGTGACATTTTAAAATGTATATTTACAGCTGAGAGAGTGGTAGCAGGGATTTACGTAATCGAATTGGAGTTTTGTCCAATTGGCAATTGTCTGGGAAAGTGTATAGGAGAGAGAGAGAGCGGGCAAGAACTCATCTCCCGATTCCAAATTAGCTTGGGCCACCGCGAAAAATCAATCAAATCCTTTTTGTGACTGTTGTTGGATTTGTCGTTTTAAATTTCGACCGATAGCTGCGAGTGAAAATAATACGGATGACCGACTGTATCTACGGATTGTCAATAGAAATCTATGCTCCCTGATACACACCTAATACACGAGTAGAATTTGCTTTAAATAATAAACGAAACCAAATGACAAAATTGTCCAAATAACAATTAACTTCCGATTATGATGACTGGTCGATCGTACATAACCTCAAAGGCTAAGTAAAAAGTAGAAAAAATATTGCACAGAATTGTTTTCTAATTGTTTTTCTTTTTTAGGTATCTCCTAATTGCACGTTACGTCATCACACGAAGAAGCATGAAAACCCAATTGACCGAAGAATAAAGGAAAGTTATATGTAAGAAGAAGAAAATACGTCCAATGAGAAATCATCGTACTAACCGTCGTTTCGTACTTTTGAACGTGGGTATGCAGAATCGCGTGACCGGAGGTAATACGCGCCATGGCAATAGGCCTATAATATAATAGATCGCAGCGAGGTTTGCTTTCACCCTTGTAAAACAGAAAGGAAATAGCACTTAGCTTTATTTCAGGGCTGAATTACCATTATTGGTCTCTTACGCATTGATCGGCGTGAAAGGAAAAGAGTGACAAATAAGAGACTCCAAAATGGCTTTCATATTGTACAGGTCAATTGCTTCGAGTAACAAAGTGATATCGATCAGAGTCTCTAATTTTGTACATAATACCGTATCAAATCAGAATAATTGTTCGTGACGATAATGACAGGGTCGATATTAACCATGTGTGATCGACACCAGCCGATTACGAATACCAAGTGCATTTAGGTTAATCGTTACTGGCAGAAGACACATTTCTTTTTCACATATACACAGTCACGATTGTACGAGTTAATTATTACATGAAAGGGAAATATATGAGAGAACGAGAGAAAAAGTAATGGATTGAATCAGCTGTTTTTTTTAATATTGAAAAAAAAAAGATTGGCAAACTTCAATCTCGGTATTCACTTTATAACGTTTCTTTTTTCCAGTGGCGCAATTGAGCCTGGTGCTCGATCAACCATCCTCGATGAATCGGATGGACAGGATTGGCGCGTGTGACCAATTAAAAATGATGAAACCAGAAGCTCCCTTTTCGATCTGCCTCTCTGGTTTCCCACTCGCGCCATATCGAGCACGCTGTTCTTTTCTCTTACGTAATAGGCTTAGAGGATTAGAAATCCGGCATCAAATAAACGACCGTGAGGCTCGGCTGAGAGGATGATAAAATTCAGGGAAAAAATTCCGCTATTGGTTCACGAACCACTTTAAAGATGTAATAAAGTATTAATACAATTAAATTCATAAGCCTGGAGTTAGCCTAAGTAGAATTATGTAAGTTTGATTGATAGTAACGTTAGTGTGCACTTGACTAACGTAGAAGGCGTCATCAAACATGGCGGCTGGAAAGCGTTTAGGGTTACGGGCTATGTTCAGTGACGGAATAAGTGAGCCCTGTATTGCTGTACGGGCGGTTAGCGACGTGGCTAATCGATGCGTCGTCGCATGCGACTGGCTGGTTTTATCGTTGTCACGCACATAATTAATTTAATTTAGTTTAATACGTCGACCAGCGTCAGCCAGCGATTGTCGTTACGATTGTTGGCACGAGAGCATTATGGGTTAACCTAGGCTCGAACTCTTCAGATCCTGCGGAAGCTTTTCGGTCGTTGGTAAATTAACAGTTCGTCTGTCTAGAGCTAATTATATCATAAGACAAAAATGTCTATAAGATTACCTCCTTTAAAACGGTAGTATCTATACTGTACTAAATCGAAATTCTATTTTTTCTTTTATTTATATATATATATGTATATAGAGACGTAAATCTAACGTAGCATGTATAATGTCTGAACGCACAAAATATTTTACATAATGGTTCCGTTCGACGTGTACCATGGGTCTCGTAAACGCATTGCCTCGGCACACGCATGTTGCGTCATCGAATGAGAAAGGAATAGAAAGAAAGAAAAAAAAAAGGAGAATTTACGTGATAAGATGCGAACAGTTATTTCTAGACATTTAATAGACCAATGATATCGTGAGTAATCGTATACGATGTCAGAATAACATTTGATCTGAAAGATGAGTCGATAGGCACTACGCGAGCCAAAATAAAATATACGTCATAAACATCACTGATATGAATTTAAATGACGTACTCTAGTTATTTATATCCTTGGCGTTCTTAAAACTAAACGAAATATTGAGATTCCAAGTCTGACATAACGTAACGTCAAATTCTATAAACTCACTTGAACACGGACTTCCGGTAGATTCACCTTCATGGCTAATTCTTCGCGCGAGTAAACATCCGGATAATGTGACTTCTCGAAGGCTCTCTCAAGCTCGTGAAGTTGGTACGTTGTAAATGTTGTTCTATTTCGACGATGTTTCTTCTTGCCGCTACCACCGTTCATGTCATCGGAGCCACATCCGGTACCGAGTTCCTCGTCGCTTCCGCCGCCTGTAGAATTACAGCTGTTTTCACCTGTAAATCGGACAGAGAACTCGTTACGTCACGATCAGGTAAATGGCCTTGAAAAAAGAAAAATGGAAAATAAATATACAAATAGACCAGTCAGACCGCACTTTACAGACACTACGAAAATGTTCTATGGCGTTTCATCTCCTTCACTGTCCTCGACAAGCCGTCAGTATAATCAGTCTCTCATTAACTGCATAATTAACCTTCTCGCATCGTAGCGCAGTGCATTAGATCGAATTGTGGGAGGTAATCGGGTAGCTCTATAGACAAGCTATATGCGGCGAAGGTATAACTAGCTCCAAAGCTTCCCTGGCTAACCAACAGCCTAATAACCTTGCCTTGGATGGTGATTGACGCGTCTGTGCTGGCTAATTATCAACAACAATCAATAATGCCAGTATAACAGCAACACTCCATACCCAGAGCCAAACCCAGGAGTGCGCTGACTTCAGCCAGCCACTCTTGGTAATAATAAAAGAAGCTTTATCATACCAGGAAAAGAGTACAGACCAGCCATCCAGGAAGGAAGGAAGGAAGGAAGGAAGGAAGGAAGGAAAAAGGGTAATCTGCAAGAATCATCTAAAACGAATAATAACACATCCGACTGATTGACTTGTAAATTTCAGATGAAGAGGAAGACGTCTCGCTATCAAGAGTCAATGGACAATTTTATTGGAAGTCAATTTTCATGGATGAACCGGCAGGCAAAATAAAATTCGTCAACGGATCCTTCTGCGGAACAATTACGTCACAAACCTGTCTATATGACTATTGTGGTAAGGAACATGAGACTTGGTAGGGAATGGTCGTTCCTGAATATCTATATCTGTATTCTTGTAGATGGAACGAGAGAGAGAGAGAGAGAGAGAGAGGGGGGGAACTGGCGTGTGAGAAGGTCGAGATGGTATCAGGATTGGTGCAAAGGGGTCCTAGTCAAGTCTAGCTACTTAAGAGATTGACACGAAAAGATAACGTAATGGACGGACGCTCCGTGGTACCACCGAGTCTCTCTTGGAGTTCTCTTGGCCACTGACTCTAATGGGCCAACACTGATCTTTGATAAATTTCTGAACGCGGCTGCAGCCTTTTGATTCCACCAAGGATTTAATCGAGTTAAGGGCTGAACGCGACAAGAGAATTTATATTAAACGGGCTTCGCTCTGTTGTGTCTCAAAGGAATTTATTTGTCTTTATCAACCGAGAGTGGTACTACTGCACGTCGTTCAGCATCCAGTCCTATGGATCATACGGTTCGCGTGTCGAGCCGTGAAGAAGGAACATGGATGACAAGGACCCATGGATGACAAATCTTTGGCGCCTTCTTAAGGAATCTAGGGACTTTTTTCTTCCCCTCCAGAGATCGCGTGTTCGGAATGGGTCTGTTTTTTGTACTTCTCTGGGGAAAAAAGTTATTTATGTTGTTTAGGTATACGCTTACGTTTATAAATAAAACTAGCTATTAGATGCAGCACGTGAACTGCCTGTAAGAATGAGGGTAATTTATCTCAATCGATTCTTTGTATATTCTTGGACACTTCGTAATCAGACTCCCGGGATGATCCACGCTGAGAATCTAAAGTGTTGCGTTATCTTAATTCATCGGTTTAGAGCAAGTTCATCTCTGGTATAGACAGTTCCTGGTAATCCTGATAATGCTCGGTGCACATGTAAGCTGCAGTTGAAGACTTGTAGCGATAAGTGGTCCACGAGTAAAGAACACAGAGTGGTTTTATGATTAATTAAAAGTATAGAAAGAAAACTAATATACGTATATACATGCAGGCTCAGAATCGCATCCATCAACTTCCCTTATGAATAGCTTTACGCAGGGTTAAGGGATGTAGTCTTATGATTTTTGAACTGTGAACTTCAGCACGTCATAATCCCATCTCACTATGCATGACGTATTCAATCTCGTGAATAGTCCTGGCAAATATCAAGCCGGATGGGTGGTTTGTAGTATAGCTAAGGGGTTTTGGTATCAGGATACAGGAGGGGTCTACTAGAAGTTCGAGCTTGCTCGGATTAAACTTGGCTGGCAGCTTATTAATTAAGGGTTCGTGAGATATTGGTAAAAGTGAAGCATCTAGTGTCCGATGAGTTTCGGCATGGATAAAAATAATTTTAAAAAATTTTAAGGTACTTTTTTTTTTTTCATCTCGTACCAATCAATGTCTAATAATATTCTTTGTCGTATCTTCGAAATACGTAACAGTGAAAATGTAATGGAATTTTTTTTTTTACAGGCCCTCCCATGTACACAGGCATAGCTCATTCTCGAGCGCAGCTGTCGATTTGAAATCTAATTTTCTTGAGTGGCGTGGGAGGACAAGACAAGATGGAGAGGCAAACGAGGGAAGATATAAAAAGAGAAGTGTGCCGTCACACAGAGAGCTTAGCTCGCCGACCAAAGAGGATTACAGAATTTGTCTTCTCTTGGATCCACCTCATCCTGCTGTTCCCTTGGACTATCCTCCTTTATCTTTTATCTCTCTCCTTCCAGTAATACCCTCCAGTCACGGCCATCCTTCTCGCACTTACTGCCGCTCTCCCGACCCTCCCCTCTCGCCCCCTCAAGTAATGGCCACTTTGCATCATACAAGTTTTCCCCCACAAAGTCCGCTTCTGCCACGGTCTAACTTAGCTTTCTGATTTTAACGTTATTTTTATGGTATCACTGAAAGACAAAAAAATTATCTATTTAATTTTCCCAGCGACCCATGTACACACTATATGCACCAATAGCGTGATAGTTTGATGACAAAAAATTGGATTAAAATACACGGATTGATTAAAAAGACAGTTAATTACCTCTACTAAGGTCAGCCGATTACAATAAGACTGAGGCGTGTAAATTACTATGGCCCAAGGCAGGCCGTTAGTTATTAAGCGTTAAGGAATAAATGTTAAGAGCAAAAAGTATGTCGAAAAGGCTCTTAACCTGTCATCGCAATCTTACAAGGATAAAGTTTCATTGTCGCGACGCGAAGATCCCTGCGGCCGCTGCATAAGCCTTGGGTCCATGCAGAATCTTCATTTTTCATCTCGATTAAGTTTCACTTAATTGAGCTTACTAATTTTTTATTGAAATAGTCTGTTAAGAAAATTATTTTGCTGCTTTGTATATGTGTACATATATATTGTTGGAATTCATATCGCTAGGATCGCATTATGTAAAACGAAATTTATTTAGACGTCAGTGCAAAACGCACGCGTCCCTCGGATAGACGGGATCTCATTATGTAGACCAGGGTTTTCGCGCTTATTATTTGCAGTTATTTGTTTACCTTCGCAATTTCGTCATGTACGCGTGACAGGGCACGCTCATTATAATAGTAATCAGTGTTCCCGTGCCTCGTTATCGGTACTGGTTAATAATTTAATTGTTTGATGGCGTGCAGGGCTTATTGGTATATCTCTACTGACATCGCGCCCTGGCAATGTGTCGACTATGGGTTACATGAGAAACAGCCGCTGCCAGTGTTATACCAGTGTATCGTTATATATACATATGGATTTCCATATTACAGATATACCTAGATGCTTTTACAGATTATATATATAAACACATATAAATCCGGAAAAGGAAGAGTAGGGGATCTGGCAAATTCCCGTTTTCAATTATCCGAGCGTCAATATTAATCACGATAATTATAAGGCCGACTCTGCTAATCTGTCTATGAATTAAGCTATACTATCGTACACGTGTTTAGTATCACTCGGTATCTGTAAGTTTATTACTATACACAACATACCTTAACGTGACCGATTTCTTACGGTCGCCCTATTTATTTTCATTCCTCCCCGCCATCTTACCAACGAGACTTTCTGCACGCATACATAACAGTTCCTATAGGCTATTTCATTATTGATTAGCAAGTATATTTTCATTTTAAACAGTAAAACGTGCTTGCGGGACTGTTCGTATCGTTGATCTTGTTTGATATATTGAAAAATTTGTATTATAAAAAGAATTAGTAATCAATGAAATATTTTTCACGACGATTTCGTTATAGAAGTAAACCGACGTACGATTGGCTGTTTTATTGTTCAAGGCTGGAGTAGTTGTCCTGAACGCCGCGAGCGGCGACACTGTTGATAATATGGACTGAAAGGGGGACAAAAGATACACGAAGAGGATGGGAATAGAATAAAAAGGAAAAACTACTAGGATCAATAGAAAGTCACTAGTCGACTAATTCGAAAGGGTCTGTGTCTCTCCCTCTCCCTAACCCTATCTGTCTATCCGTTTCTGTCTGCCATCATTCGACGGTGGCGCTTCGTGAGTGTGACTTATTGTCGAAAAGACAACGTATCCACAATAAATGGGTATGAAATTACAGGTAATTGCTTGTGCTCGTATACCGGTGCTTGTGTCACGCGATCGAGGCACCCTGTGTCTACGTGTATACGTGTAGTTGGTTATTTTGTGTCCGGTTGCCTTTTCTACAGGGTGCTTCTATATAATTTTATATATAATATATATATATAGATATATTATCTTTTTATTATTTTTGTAACGCGCATGAGATAACGCAACGCACGCTACGTACGCGTACACGGTATACAGGACTGCTTGGTTTAATTGTAGATATTTATTTATTCAAGATATCAAGATAGCGAGACCGCAAGGTGGATGCTGATGCAGCTGATCAACCTGAGAGAAGGGAAACGGTCGCGATGGGATAGCGAACGACGAAGAACGTTGGAAGCTAAAGAGAAGAACTGGCCAGGGATAACAGAGCTGTTAGCTCTGTTTTAAGATTACGAATGCGAGGAAGAAAATAAAAGATATGCATAGAAGGTAGGTGGCGGTGGTGGAAGAGAGAGGAAGAAGGCGCGATCCATTAGTAGACACGTCAATTCAGCTCTTAAGAAGCGACCGGCTTAAAGCCGTTCCGATCTCTCTATCTTGTGTTGTTCCCTTTTTTTTATATATTTTTTCTACTCTATTTTTCTTTATGCTTATTAGCGAGCTTGGCCTTTTACCTTTTATTCTCTCACCACAACTCCCCTTCGTTCTCCCTCCTCCTGCTCCCTATCATAATTAATGATAATTCGATTAGTCGAACAAGATTGGGTCTTGGTTAAGCATTTCGTGTCTTTTTAATCGTTTTTTTTTTAAATCTATCCATACTTTTTTTTCCACTTCGATTTCTTTCTATCCTCCACGCCCTCTGTCTCGCTCGCGTTAGTTCGCCTTTTTAACACCGCGCTCTCTGTCCGACACGTCATCCTCGCGTTCCGTCGAGAACTTTTGGACGCTAATGAGAGACGCGGACAATTAGAAGGCAATTATAGGCCGTCTTTTATAGTTACGATAATCTGTCAATACAAAACGATCTGTCAAGTATTAACGAGAGTTTGGACAATGGGAAGCCGTGGCTATGCGAGTTGGTCTGTTTTTTCCTTTCTTTCACCGTTAATTTTAAATTGTCTTCCTTCTCCCGTTTATCATTAATTACTATGGTCTCGCTCGTGCTCGAGAAAAGTTTATTACACGCGCCCTAACGGCCTGCGGTATTTTCAATCTCCTCCTGCAGAACCACCGAGTCTCCAACTGGAATTACAATGGGGGTTATGTCGCTGCTGGTACATACAGCCGGAGTGTACGTCAGGGTGAAAGCGACTGTGTTCTCCGGGGAGGGTGGAAATATACAGTGTAGTTAGAGGATCTAATGCGCTCGATAATGCCATTGGACAAAGTTGCCAATTACCAGCGTTCAAGGGAAGACGCGCTTAACAAATTGAAAAGTATCGCCGTTGCGTCGGATCTGGAACACGGGACTCGGCATTTTATTGTGTTCTGCCGATCAAGTGAATTTAACCAACAGATTATTTGTGGCTGGCGAACAGATTTTTTTTTCAATTAATAATAATTAGCAACGGTTTATACATATACTATATTTAATTATATTAATTTTTATTCTCATTATTACTATTTTTATTCGACTACTTCAGTCATTATGGAGAACCAAAAAAAATTGTATTTTTATCAAATTTATCATGAGCAGCAAATTCATTAATTGTATATACGTTTACTGGTTTCGTGTACGGAATTGTTTTCTGCAGTGTCGTAGACGCGATTACCACAGTGTCCGGCGCACGGCCGTTTTTCAGTTCCGACGACAAATTAGCGACGCTAACATGGTATACCGAGCTTGGAGATCCTGGCGATAATAACGATTTTCCAATTACACGGAAACCGTGCACGGTTAGTGTGCCCTGGTAGAATATAGGTATAGTCAACGATATAGGGTATATGGTAACGCCGTAGAAATACTAAATTTTCGAGTTTTACGTTGTGATCTAAGTATGCATAAAAAAAAATTATTTTTTATGTAATCCACAAAAAAAAAAGGTCTTACCGACCAATATGATTTTTATAATTTATCAAACGATTACACCTTTTTCAATAGCAATTATTTTTTAATTGTATCGTTAGAATTAAAATTGATTCCGTGTACGATCATTCTTACTCGTCAATCCGATCAGTCAATCTCGTTGCGCTAACAAGATGCAAGGGTGACTTAAGCCCTTTTGGGATTTAGGGAATGACTGTATATATACAGTATGTAGTAAATATATCAGACGCCGAGTAGGACGACGCGTGCCGGGATTTTCACATACTCACATACGTGTGCCGTCCGTCGGCTGACGTGTTGGATGTAATTTAAAAATTTTTGTCTTTTATATAATTTTGGTATAAATAGCTTTTATTGGTATTTTATTCGACAGCAGTCTGTTCTACGAATGACGTTGTTACTTTCAATCGATTATGTTTAATTATGTAGCCCGTTATATATTATATCTTTGCGATATGGTAAAACCTTCAGAATTGCTCGTACGTTTCACGTGATGTTGATACGTTACTTTGGTATCACGTGCGAGTTTTTATACATTTATTTTTACTATCCTCGTACCGTATGATTCATATGGGATATACTGCTCCACTCCGCGGCCCACATATGAGATATCAAGTTAGCTATTCCTACGCTGGACACGTTAGCCTTTATCGAGGTATCGCGATGATATCATTAGATACGCATTATGGTGGATTGTGAATATTGTATAAGAGCGTTAGATAATATGACAGGGTATGACTGGTAAATCTGTGAAAAATTTTAATTAATCGATTCCTATCGGTATCCGATATATGCTAAGGTGTGTCATTAATTATTTCACTGATAATGAGAACAACGTAGGTTGGCTAATGATTTTAATGGAATTTTTGTTATATAATTATTGTAGGTAGTAGCCTGGGTTTGGTGTAACCTTGGTTGGATGCTATTTTTTTAAATTATGAAAAATTAATAATTGACTATATTAATGTACCAGTATTCTCTTGGACGTCTCGTGCGCCGTCTTCCATTTCTTGATGATTTCTTTTATTACTCGGAAGCCCAAGAATGGCGTCTATGCTGTGTCTGGGTGTGCTGCTCGCCGGTTTTGGTAGGATGATATCCTGACTGTTTTGCGATGCCGTTTCTACGAGCTGCTGCGAATCCATTGCTGTACGGAAGCCAGTCTTCTCGTAGACGTAGTATCGTCAATTAATCATTAATCACAGAAACGATTACAGGCGACGAGACGCGGGTGCATACGTATATCCGGTTTATTTACCTTGAGGAGGTGCGACGAGAAAAAAAGGTGTAACGGGACACTGAAGTAGGCGTATGATTTGGTGTAAAAAAGAAAAATTTATCCTTTTGGATGAAAGTTATGAAAAATTTTGAGATACCGGAAAAACCGAACTCAAGGTATCATTTTGAAATCGACGTATCGAGTACTCATTGAATTGCATTACTCCAAGGGGATAGCTTTTTTTTCTTCCGTCTTACGTACCGGGTAATACAAAATTGTAACGTCAAACGAAAAATGCACACCTTTCACCTCGTTAGCTATTTGGGCTTATCACAGTGGCGAGATACTTTGATTTAAAACACACAGAGTTCAAATTGTGAGAACTTGTGAAATATTTTTTTTTTTTTTTTTTTTTTTTTTTTTTTTTTTTTTTTTTTTTTTTTTTTTTTTTTTTTTTTTTTCAAAGATTCTTCTTTCGTCCGGCGGGAATTTTTTATCTGGTAGTGTATGTCAAATTTTCTGATAACACGTTAACGTGACTAATGCACAGAGATATTGTCAGCACTGTTCTATTGATAATGTACTTCCGGTTTTGGATAATGCCAGTTATCAGGTTCGTTCACTAATAAGTTGATTCAATGTTCACAGGTGATAACGATGCCGGGTCTTCTTCCACGTGGTGTCACAAGTGTGTCTTGACGAAGATTTTATATGGCGCAAATAGTTGACGGCGAATTTTTTATATGCGTTTGTTAGTCGGTTACGTGATCGCAGGCTGCGTGGTTGCGTCTTCGCCTTCAGCGTGCGTCGTGCCAGCAAACACTAGCCAGTAGAAACGGTAGCTTTGGCTTTCGGAGCAGAACCAGCCGGCACTTCGTAGTGACGTGAGTAGGTTGTGCCGTAGTGGTGGAGGCGTGGCTATCGTTTAGCCAATAGGAAATTATGCTGGTAAAACGGGAACCAACGACCGTTCGAGTTGGCGAACATGGCGAGTCAGGGGTGCTCAGTCAGCTGGTTACAGACCAGTTGAGGCCGTAGAATTTTATCTGTGGAGAAACTTGGCTCCGGCTGGAAGGGTGGGGTTAATTCGAGGTCTCAAGGGTGGTCGAAGCCAAGTTTGCTGGGCGTTTAGGCTTTTGTGATAGAGCACGTTGGGGTGAGATCATCATGCCACATTGCCATCGGGTACCGCTTGATTCTTGCGGCGGATTCTGGCATCCCTTATAATTGACAGACAGTTGTTGACGTTCGGGAACTTTGTATTTGGTTTACCTGTAAAACAAGGTTTTTATATTTATACACTGAGGTCTGTTTAAATAAATATTTTTGGATGTCCATACGTAGGCTTGGAAATTAAAGAATTTTTTGGTATTTTGTGCTGTGGAATTGATTTTTGTTACTAGTTTCACGTTTGATCTTGTTAATCGAATAATAATTACCGATCAAATTCTGCGTGATTTGTGTAAGACTGATTGTTGAGTATTATTACACATTTTTAGGTTGCAAGGAAACACGCTCCTTCTTTTTGTCAATGCCTCCTAGTCCATTTCTTCTTTCATTTCGATTCTCTATTTCAAAAGAGAACGACTATGACAAAGAGCCCTATTTTCTCTGGATGTATCGTCGTAACCATTTGGCATTTTAGCCCAGGGGGAAGTGCACGCCCATAAACCTTAACCACAAAAGATATCCGCCGGTAACGACACAGTAGCCAGTCAAAATCGATCCTCGCTAACGAGGCAAATTATACGTTTTGAATTTTATGGATGAATTTTTATCCGCTGCGCCCAGTCTCCGTTCATTGTTATCCACGACAATTGCACCTAGAAACATTATACCAAGTATTAAGTAAAGAACGAAAAATGTAAAAACATTGAAGTAACATGTGAAAGCTTCGTATCGTAAAATAAAATCTCACCCTGGCCGGGCTTACCTGATGCTCCATTTTCTCGAAGCTAAAGATAATTTATGCGACGGTCCGAGTCGGGATAGAAAATTATCCTAAAAATAAAAAAGGAAAAAGATCAGACGAGAAATGAGACTGCGAAAAACTAATGCTAACCAAGAAGCTACTTAAGCGCAGGTACGAAATAATACGCTAATCTAACCGGGACACGCCTAGGTAGATTTTTATCTCAACTAAATGGGATCCGGTTAAATGCAACTCGTGATCTGATTTGACGAAAACTTAAAAGCTTTTTTTTCGGCGGGACACGAGCCAGATTCGATGTTGAGATTTGAAGGAGAAAAAGGCCGTAACCAATTTCGTCGAATAAGCTACCTTATAAATAAGTGTACTTTCTTTTATCGATTTCCATACGTACGAAGAATTTTAAAATATTGTTTTTTACCTTCATATCCTTGTCTGACCGATGATTATAATTTTTTTTAAAGCACTCAGATGCACTATTGCCTGATCCATTCATTCAGGATGACCCATCGAATTACAGGAGGCTATAGTCATTCACTATGGATGCTGCACTGATGTAACACAGTAGCCAATGGCTCCTTGACAATGGAATAACGTCCGTCCAGGGTCAACGTGGAAAAGAGCAGCACGCTCGAAATTCAAAACTGTTTGCAAATCTGACAAGAGTACAAAAAAGCCATTCAGCAGACGATCCAGCGAACAAGATGGTCGTGCCTTATTTTCCGGCAGCTGGGAGCACCTCTTCTATTTGAATGATCTCAGTAGATAAGTCTAATTTCTGTGGTTCGTCGGCATTCACTGAATGAAAATCCGGCCCAATTTTTTTCCAGGCTCCCTGCGGGAATAACATAGCTGTAGGTGCGAATGGAGATACTTCACAAGAAGAATATAAGATTTTCAAGTATCCGTCATAGCGAACGTATATCTATAGGATATTTCTAGAAAGAGACGTAGGTACAAACGGTTTAATCCTTGTTTACGGTGTCCCGTGATCTCTGGTGTATAGAGAGAGCAGCCACGGGTGGTGATTCGACATTGTTACCCCCATTGAAATTTCAGGTAATTCTTGACAAGTTTGGGGAAAACTCACAGCGTGTGGTCCCGCGTAGATTCGAGAGGACGTAGCGAGATTTCCGTCGCCTAATCCATTTGTTTCGTACAAGCCTAACCTGTCGCTTTCACGAAGAGGTTCATACTCCAGTAGACCCGTGCCAATTGAAGAGAAGTATTTCAGTCCGATTTTGAATCCTCAGTGAATCCCATTGGTCGCACAATACGTGCGTACACTCCGGCTGAAGAATCTTTCCCACATCCAGTTTACTTTGAGAGAAAAGAAAAAGATAATAAAAATCTCTTGATAATACCAGCAGCGCCACGGTGAGATACCGTGTAAAGAAAATTCTTTTATATATCATCACTCAGGTAGCATCCGCAATGTGAGCATTTGCCAGAGAACCACTGAGTCTACACATCTATAGAGCAAATTACCTTTGCAGCCGACAGCAGAGAATCGCTCGTCCCTATCGCACTCGTTGCACCAGGTGCACTATAGGTTATTCCACTTGCACAACCTCACTTTCTCCTATCTCTCTCTTTCTCTCTCAATTCCTTACTAGATTCCCATTCCACCACTCTTCGTCTCTCTTACACTCACGTAATCGTTCGCTCCGTCCTCTCTCTCTCTCTTTCCTCGTATCACAATCTTCCTCACATCCAGTAATCCTCCTTCTTGCACCTCTGGCATGGTACTCCAGCTTAATTAACTGTGTATACACTGCAGTCAACTCCTACCGTTGTCTTGCTCCTGCCAATTGGAACCTCAGCGCCGTCTCCTGCTCCTCCCGACACACACCCAGGGTATCCCCGTTTAATTCTCGCGGCATGATTTCATCAAGTCAACCATCGTAGTTGTACCGAGGCGCAGGAATGAACGGCAACTCGTCAATTTAGTATGGCTCCTGCTCTTGCACAAGCTCAAAGCTACACGTATTAACGCCACCACGTGAGCTAATACGCCGGCAGGCACGACGAGTTCGCAAATCGCACGTTCCTTCGTTGCGATCGGAATTGACTTGTGTTTCGAACGTCTGTCGCTAGATCGCGCGACATGACACTTTCTTACGAACTTATCTCGAGAACGGAATTCTGTGTTTCTTATAAAAGGTAAGAAAATTTACTTAACCATACTTTATACTAGGTTGAATACCATTGTTTATATTGTCAAAGAGTATCAGGCCTCTTGTGGAAGATGAAATTTTATTGTAGATCAATTTTTTACTCGATTTCAAGTTACGGGTTATGGTATGTACATCGAACGTTTCTTGTGACGATGTATCAAACTTACGCGCTACGGCTGGTTGTTACATGGAACGTATAACCGGCGTCAACCCCTGTTTGGTCGTGGAACGATTTGGCACAGGACAAAAAGCACAAAATTAAATTTCAGCCCCTCGTGCTCGCAATATACGAGAAAACGGGACCCGGGGTGCGCGTCCTCCAATGGCGTTTAGCGGTACGTTAACTATCATTTGGTTTCGCCTTGGGGCCAATTCGCTAACCCGTGTTTACCGATGCCCAGGGCGCCATTAAATAAACTACGGGACGAGTCCAGCCGATGGGATTCGGTTGCGATTAAAAGCGTAACGAAAAAATCATTGCTCTCGAGAGAAGGGATCTTGTTATGGTACTTTTATTATATTTTACTGTATAAGTGTGCTCCTTGTACAATGCGGAGGCTCCTGCCTCCTTATAACTCTACCACTCTTCTAACGTTATCACATTTGAAATCGATTACAGAAAACCCTTTATCGTCAATCGGATCGTTGCAGATGGACCGTTTGCTTCCTGCTGAGTGCATATGCTGACCTAAGCAGAGTTCAAAATCTGTCCTACAACTTACCAAGTACTTATCTCCCTTGGATACCTTTGTAACGTTACCGAGTACCCTTTTCGAACCATGTGTCCATTCTGCTTTCATTTTAATCCAGTTCAAAGATGAAACAATGAAATATTTTTTTATTACGTGACGTATCACGTATTAAAAAAAAATTATATGCGCAGATCATCCGGTATTTACAATATCCACACAATTTTTAATACAAGACTGATAATTAAATTTTCTTCAATTTTTTTGTGTATAAAACTAATTTTCACAGGTGTGCAATCGTCTCGCTGATTCAAGTTTGGCTTCCATCGAACAAAGATAAAAATTGTTGGAATAATGTAAGCGCCTCTCGAGGTAAGAATACAGTTTTCCACGTCGAGTGGTTGGTACGAGCCGACACGTTCGAAGAGACGTCGTAAAATCGCGAGCCCTATAGCGACGTTTTATAAATTCGATGTTGGCTGTTGTGCAGGGATTCAGGTTGGCGGGTCGGCGGGAGTGCGCGAGCGCGCGGGCCAGCCATGTTTGCGGGTTTATAAATTGGGTTCGGCGCTGGGGATTTTTCTATTAGGGCAAAATTGGTTCTTTCAACCGCCACCAGAGCGGTGCGTCCTCGTCCGCTTGCCTACCCTGGGGCTTGGCATTGGTGGGGATGGAATGGGAAAAGAGAGAACGATGCTTGGGGCGTT